ATTCCAAATGTAATATTTATATTATTTAAGTAAAATTCAAAATTTTATTATATAATCATCTATGTATATATTTTTTTTCAATGATACTTAAATTTTTTATATTCAATATATATGTTGTACCTAGATAATCTCGATTCAGAATCAGGAACTATCCTGAATGAGAATTTTGTAATTTTGTTCAAAGCTATACTATATAGCACTATATATAGTACCTCCCGGGGATAGTATTTCTCTTTTTTTTGACAAGCAATTTGTGGCCCAATTTTCATAATTAATGTGCGATCTTTTTATTGGGTTTGATATGTTTAATAACAAACTGTATATTGATCAGTAACGATTATTTGCATTATCCTCCTATCACCAATACTTTGGGGTATTATTCAATCTAGGCCAGCTTTTTTGTAAAATACCCGAGTACTATATGCAGCGCTGTACTATTCTAATTCAAACTTTAGTACTAACTCTAAAGTACTAATTCTGTTACAAAATTCTCATTCGGGACAGCCTAATTCTGAATCATATCTGGGTACAATATATATTTTTTATTTGAATATTTTTAATTAGATGCAAAAAAACCTGCTATATTCCGGGCTATTAATCAAAAAAATTATACCCCTGATGAATTGCATCTGCTTTTACGTATATCAGATATATTAATGGAATGCTTTTTTAACAATTTGACTAAACAAAAAGAATTTAAAAAAAAATTAAAGCCGACTATTGAAGCAGCATTCAAAGATCTCTCAATTCGGTTAGAGTTTTTTAAATCAGGTAACAAATGGGATTGGACTTCATTAATGGGCACAGATAAAAAAAAAATGCTAGAAAATTTTCCAGTATCTTAGTTTATTTCTGGTACACGTAGAGAAAAGATTGAACAATTGTGGCATGAATTTCATCAATTATATAATATTTTATGCCAATCACAACTTACTGATCAAGAAATTTATCAGTATAAAGTTGACGCAGAAAATTGGGTTCGAACTTTTTGCTATCCAACACAGGGTTATATAAATTTTTTACAAAATCCTGGACTTTATCGGAAGGCAAACGTAACACCATATATGCATGTGTTCGCAAAACATGTGCCTTTATTTATGCAACAATTAAAAGCAAAAGGTCTTTCATTACAAATTTTTTCTACTTCAAGCATAGAAAAAAAAAATCATAACAGGTAATGTAAGCCTTTAATTAAATTACATTTATACGCTTTTCTAATAAATCAGAATATTTTACATTTATATGTTTTTCTAATAAATTTTTATTAGGTCAGAATATTTTTCAGAGGTACTATTATGGGAGGAGGAAACAAAGAAAAATCTGTCATTTATGATATTATGTCTTATGAAAATCGACAGCTTTTTTATTTAACTAACAGTATCCCCAAAGAAATCACTGCTAGAAATATAGATGCAAATAATAAGGAAAATATTGCATTCATTAGTAATCTGGCCAAGAATAACTAAAGCTAATTTTCAGCTTAGCCGTCAAGTTTTTTCAAATCGGCTAATCAATTTCTTATATTAATAATAAATTCATGCATAAAGTTTTTGATCATTATATAGTGCTTTTTTATTTTGTATTTTTTAATTCATAAATTGAAAGATTCTGATTTTGATTGTTGTATATTTTATTATCATTAGCTTGGTTTAACGAATATATATAATTGGATCAGTAATTGCATTTTCGAAGAAATAGTTAAAAAGAAGTAATGCATATTATTTATATACAGTATATCTGATTTCCTAATACTTTTATTTACTTATTAACACATCAGTTGCATCAAAATTGCTTGATCTACTTTCAGATATCGAATCCACTCACACATTCGCTATTAGAACTAACAATCGAGATTTTACTAACAACACTGGATTATCAGCATATAATTTTGCTCAAATAATTTTGAACCAACAAAGAAGGAATAATGTGTGTACTGTATATAACTTAAACTTATACAATTCTGTAGCACTTCGAGAGGTATAAAATCTAAGGATATATACTGTTACTTGAATAATAACATCTTTTAATTACAATTTTTTTTTTTTTTAGGGATAAAAAAAAAAAATAAATAAATTTTGTTAATTCTACGATAGGCTAAATGTAGTAACCTGTGAAAACATCCAAGAAGAAAACAAAAGGAAAGCATTATAAAATATTGTGGTTTGAACTCATCCGGATTGTAATAAAATATGTTTAGATTAGACTACTTACATAGCAGGATATAATTCATAAAGATCTAGTATTATATATCCTAGTAGTTGATGTAATCATATAATGAATTAAAAAGGTTTATACTTTTTATATGCAAAACACAAAATATCAATTACCTGAAAGTAATAATTAAATATTTTTCTATTCGTATCTCGCAAATAATGTAAGTCATGTATATTAATTAGGAAGAGACTCAAATATTAGATCTCTTAAGATCTTGTGAATCAATAATGCCGTATTACGATTTATTTTTTATAGCACTAATTAAAAACCTTAATGCTATTTTAAATATTGTAATACTTTTCAATGATTTAAATCTACTATTAAAGTATATCGCTTACGCACTATAACTCTAACGATTAACAATATAACAAAAAAAAAAAAAATTATCTATTGAGTTGTTGAAAAGGAACCCGAGGTAATATAAATCTATAATTTTTTTGAATTAATCTATCACTATCATTTGAAAAACTTTTTTTGTTTGAATCAATCTTATGAATTTGCTCTAGACTTAGTACTTGCGAAGTAACGTAATTTGTTTGAGATGCGGCAGGCCTAATAAAAAATAATTAATGATTAGAAAAAAAAAAACTAACAATATTTTCATTATTGCAGTTTTCGAAATAGTTGAAAATGCAAATAAATTTTTTTTTAGGCGTACACTCATACATTTATATACTTGTACACTCGAATTACCTTAGCACATTGATCGAGGATCGATGTCTGATTTTATGTAATTGTTTAGAACAATTACATAAAATCAAATATCGATCTTCGATCAATGTGCTAAGGTAATTCGAGTGTACGAGTGTATGAATGTACGAGTGTACGCCTAAAAAAAAATTTATTTGCATTCGAAAACCACAATAACAAAATGACATTTTGTTAAAAATTCTTACTGTTCAGAAAATTCTCCTGAATCTGCTATGAATTTACAAGTGACAGTACCACATTGAAAAATATGACCATTCTCTTTTAATTCTGACTGCGACCAACTAAAATTGACACTATAAGAGCTCTCATGATCTATAAATAAAACATAGCCAATAGTTTTTAATTTTGGATCTTGCTGAATATGCCAATAATCATAATTCATTAATTGCTTTAATCTTTGTTCACCAGCTTCGCCCTGAAACATGCAGGAATACTTTCATTGCACAGAATTATATCAAAAAGAGGGCTCATATTCAAAAAGATAAACAAATATATTTTCTGGAAAGGCGTTAATAGAAACTTGTTTTGCGCCTACTGAGTGCCTATTAAAACCAAGACGCTTTTTAATAAGAACTATAAACGCGTCCTGATAAAATGTAATTTGCTCAAGGGGTGGTTGAATAAGTAAATAGCAATAAGGTATTATTTTATTATTTCAGTGCTTAATTCTTTCATGAATAACATGATTTTTTTGAGAAGAAAAAATTTCTTGACAAAGTTGGCATTTACTAGCCATTGTAAGTTTAATATCAGGCAGTTCTTGCTTAATAATCAATTGATGAACTAGAAAAGGTAGTGGCGACTTTTTAGGTGTTCTAGATATTAACTATTGTCTTGGTTTAGAATAAGGTACACAGTATTGTAAAACTGCTGAAGTTTCTGCTTATCGAGACTGTACTGAAGACTCTGATCCTGTTAAGAGACTATTGTCATATATCAATATTTTTGAAATATCACAATCAAATTTTTTAACCGATTTGATTGGTTAATAATATATTTTGATCATCATATGTGACAAAATCGAATTTTGTGACAATACTGATTGGAGTCAAATCCGCCCATATGAACAAAGTTAATAACAAAAAGACTTAGCAAAATATTTATGAAGAGAGAAATACTTAAAGGACCAAACTATGCAAGCCTATCAGGAAACTCAACAGAATGACCTGTACATGTTCTAAACATAATAATAGAAGAAGCAAAGAAAAAAAATAAAGAGATGTAGATACTTTTACAAGATATAAAAAAGATATTTAACTTAGTTTCACTCAAAAGTCTTAAGCTAGCCTTACAAAGAGTCAAAATACCCAAAATGATGATTAAATATATATTAAATCTCTTTTATAAAAGACAGCTTAAAATAATCATAGCATATAGTCTAATAGAAGAAATAATAGCAGAAGATGGAATAAATCAAAGTAAAGTAATATCACCACTAATATGGCACCTTTTTTATGACCCACTATTAGAAAGATACAGAAAGATAAAAGGTTAGGCTATACAGTAGAGCAAGAGTTTAAAGAAGAAATACACTGCAACAACATTACAAGCCATTACTAAGCAGCAATCATATATGCAGATAACACAACATGGATTGCAAAAAGCAAAAAACAACTTACAGATATCCTAAAGATGGCAGAAGCTTCTTTAAAATAAATGACATCAAGATAAATAGATCGAAATCAAAACTAATAATAATAAACAGGAAAGCTAAGAAAAAAGCAAGAGAAATAAATTTTGATAAAAGTAAGATAATAGAAGAGCCAAGAAACAAAATAGTATGTTCATTAGAAATTTGGCTAAACAACAGAATGCAGGAAGTCTTAGTAAAAAAAAAAGCAAAAAGAATAATAAACCAGACAATAAGAGACCTTAAATATAAAAAAATGACAATGAGCCAAATAGTATATATAAACAATATAGTAATAATATCAAAATTAAGCTACATGTTGCAACTAACAAAAATATTAGAGAAAGGGATAAATGAAATATACTAACCAATAATATGCTTGGCAAAACAAAAAAGTGGCTTACCAAGAACATTAGAAAACTGTATAATAGAACACAAAGATCTTGATAGCTGCAAAACTCTGTGACAAGAACTAATAATGAAACAAATAAAAGGCCTAATAGCAAGACTAAACAGAAAGGATAAACTAGGACAACTAACAAAACTGAAAATAATGCAGAGTTGTTAAAGAGCAAGTTTGATAAAAGACATAAAAAAAGTAGAAAAACTGTCAAAAGATAAGTCATGTTGAAAAAACAATCTAGTTTGCTTGATAATAGTCAAAGCAAGAGAGTTAGGAATAAATATAAATACAGAAAGTGAACTATGGACAACAAATGGTTATGGTCTTAGAGTAATCGAACTAATAGAACTATGACTATGGAAAAAAAGCAGACCCAAAATAAGTGAAGCAGGACTCATATATCTAAACCAACTACTCAATACAAAAAAAGAAAGACTAATAACATAGCAGCAATTCAAGACCTATCAGAATCAGTTAAGCAAAGGCAAAAAGGCAGAGTGGTTCAAAATGATAAAGACAAAAGTGTTTAATAGAACCAAAAACAGAGAAGTTAAGAAACAATTTAAAACAGATATATGCAACATACAGGCAATGAAGATCAAGTAAAGAATCCTGTCAAAGGTTAGAAAAAAAAAAGAATAAATAATACATGATGCAATAAAGAATAGGCAAATAAGAAAAATAGTCAAAAAGAAGAAGAAGAAGCTACTAATAGAACATTGGCAAATACATAATATAAAGAGTGACTTAATAACAAAAATTGACAAATGCAAAAAATGTTTAAGAGATAAAAAAACAGAAGAAAATAGCTGCCAATATTGAATAAGAATTAACAATAATATAAACACAGTTCCAGATGTGCTAATAGGAAAAAACAATAATATAATCAAGGCAGCTATCAATCAACTAATAGGATATACAAGAATAGAGAAACTAAGAAAAAATGAACAGAAACTAATAGGACTAAAGATATTAGAAGGCCTAGAAATAGAACTAATTAGAAAACAAAAAATAAGAGAGAATGTTAGTTAAGAGCTAGTAAAAATCTTAAAAAAAAATATATTAAGAGACAAAAGCAAATATACAATATATACAGACAGTACAGCAAATAAAAGAAATGAAGAAGAAGCAACAGACAAAAACATAGGTATAGGTTGAATACAAATAGCTGAAGCACAAAATTAGTCAGAAGAAAAGGTAACATTAGGAGTAAAAGAATGGCCTATGTTTACTACAGCTGAGATGCTAGCAATATGGGCAGTAATCTTAACAATGCCAAAAGGGAAAAAATTAGTAATATTTACAGATAGCAATGCAGCAATTAGAAACATTAGTAAAGGATTAGTGTGTATAGATAGAAACGAAGTTCTTAAAAAAAAAAAAGCATTATGAATATTAAAGATAGTAGATATAGTAAAAACAAAGAACATACAGATAGAGTGGATCAAAGTTAAAAGTTATAACAAAAATAGATGAAATAATAAAGCTGATAGCTTTGCGAAAAAAAAAACATTAAGCAGAAAAATAATTTTTTTAGAAAAAGTTAGCCATGAAGAGATAGAGTACTGCCTAGAGTAGGAAAACAAGTGAATGGACATACCTGCAAAACTTCTATATAAAATAGTAACAAATACCAAACTGGAAGTAGAGTAGAAAGAAACAATAGTGATTAAGAATATTGAGTCAGAAGCAGAAGTAATGCTATATAATTGGACATACTTTTGAAAAAGGCTAGATTCATCTAAAAGAGTATACTGCCTAACAAGAAGAAGCAGTACAAGAAGGAGTGCTTTCATGAAATGTATACTAAACAAACTCCTAACATTGGAAAAACTTAATAGAAAAAAGCCAGATATATATATAACAGCAAAATGTCAAGTTTGCCAAAGCAAAGTTAAAGAAATACAAGAACACTTGGCATCATGTAAGAGACAAACAAATCTATAAAAAAGAATACAGAAAGTATCTATTGTGACAGCATGGAATAGTTTAAAAGAAGAAGAAAAGATATGAGTCCCACTTCAAGTATTATATATGGCACTTTTTGGACAAACAGAACAAGAGAAAATAAAAATAAAGAAAACACTAATCAAAGGCCTAATTTCAAGAACAATGCAAAACAGATTATCTTAAATCTTAAGTACAAAAACAAGACAACATTTTGCAAACATATTAGCAAAAACAACATAGAATACATTCTATAAACAAGTCTAGAGAATCTATTGCAAAAAGGTTAATACATAGGAAAAAGAAAGAGAAATAATGAGTAAAAAGAAAAAATGAAGACTAAAGGGAAAAGAAAAGACAAGTATAAAGAAGAAAAGAAAAGCTAATCAGTAAGCAATAGAAGAAGTGAAAAAGAAAACAAAAGAAAAAGAAGAGTGAATAAAAAAAAAAGTTAGAATGACAATTAACAAGCTTGTTATGAAAAGGTGAAGACCCTTTCATTATGGACTTTAAGTAGTTAGACAAGCAGCTTACTTTTGCTAGAAGTAATATGGCAGGTTGCACTTAGGCACTATTAGGATAGCTGGATGATACTAAGCTTAGTTGTTAGATAAATTTATATAATTACAATAGTAGTTTCAAAAGTCTTAATAAAGCACTAGCATGACTGTTTAAAAAAAAAATAAAATAAAATAAAATAAAAAATAAAATAAAAAATAGATTTTATAAATAATATTTAAGAACAATAGTTAAAGATTATTTTATTAAAAAGTTTTTTGATTAAATAATTATTACAAGAAGCTTTTTATATATATAAAAAAAATAATTTCTAATATTTTCAAAAACTGTCCTTTTAGGAAGACAAAAAGCTATTCTTTTTATAGCTTTTTAATCTAATAATTAATTGGTTTTAGAATTACTATATGTTGTAGCATTATTCTGAACCATATAAATATTCAAAATGTAACAAAAATAAAAAAATTCTATATGCATTTCATTAATAATGCTTGTGCACAAATAATAAACCAATATTGTATCTTTCTATTTTTACTAATGCTTGGTGTTTTATTATGTAATAACTTACATATTAACTAAATATAAACCAAATATTATTGTGTAGCCTATATGTTCATCTACAAAACTCTCTATAGTTATTTAGCATTCAGAAATCTTCTTACAGATGTTGTCCTAAATACAACTAAAAATAACTATAGTAGTATATAAAAACTATATATTAACACTATAGTAAATATTGTATTATAATTAATAAATATTAATTAACTATAATTAAATTAATTGTTTCATTATTTTAGAGTAATCTGAAGCATCTAGGGCATGATCTGGAGCCTTTAGTTAGGGTCTTTGTAATACTAAACAACTATTATTTTAGATATCTAAACAATTATTAGCTAAAATAAAATATTATAAGAAATTTATTAATAAATAAATATTAACCTATTAAATAAATAATTATAACTAATAAAATAATCTATAAACTATGTAAAAATATTAAAAAAAATATAATATATAATATAGAGCTAAAAAAATATATATAATAATATAAAAAAAAAAGATTTTATTACAATATTTATTGTAAGTATTACAAAAACAAAAATTTTTAACAAACTTAATTTTTTTTTTGTAACAATAATCTTTATACCTACTATTGATCTAACTTTTTTTTTTTTTTTGTGTTAAACTAGCTTCTTTTGAAGCTAGAACTTTTTATTCAGTATAGTTAGAATATAGGAACTTA